TTTGATTGATTAAATATATATTTTCGTACTAGGGCTCATTTAGTTACCTTAACAAACTAATTCCTTTGGAGCTACAAAAATTACAGTGAGCACCTAATATTGTTAGGAATCTACTGTAAAAATTTTAGAGCCAACACTACCACCAATTTACCACAACAATTCCTACAAGTTTATACTCAGACAATATTAAGTATCTCAAATTAATTATATAGCTTCTAAGAATGTTATAAAACTATATGAACAAAATATACTAGCAGATAGATCATGATTTTAGGTATCTATCAAAATTAGTTTCACTATTTTTGGATATCTATGTGATTTTATAATATTTACCAAAGATCCGCTCTGAAATAAAATGAACAATCTATTTCTAATTCCTCCTAAAAAGGAAAAATGAAATCGGCCCAGCGTGGCCCAACCTGGACGCGGCCCACGTGACGCGGCCCACGGCGGAAACCGCGCGTGCCCCGGGCATTTAAGCAAAAGTGCCCCTGGTCTTTTCCCGACCTACACCACGACCCAAACCCTATTCCTCCCTCTCTCACCCGTCTTCACTTAACCCCCTGACGTCTCCAAAATTTACGCGTGCACCTCCCCGAGTCAGGGCACGCGGCGATGCGATGGCAGCGGCACTGGGCGGCTACACCAGTGAGCAGGGCTCGCGCCGGCCCCATCTAGTCGGCCGACCACCATCACTAACCTAAACTTGGGTGCTATGTTGTGGTGGGGGACAGCGGGGCTCGCGGGCGAGCGTGACCATGGCGCGCGGCCGCCCACGGCGGCGATGCAGTCGCTTCGGCTAGCTAGCGCCTCTAAAGGACCAACCGGCTGGCGCTAGAGCACCACTGACTTACCACAACACTAGCCAAGGTGATGGTTGACGTCGAGAGAAGCCGGCGTGCAGCGAGGTCGATGGCGCTCCAGGCGTGGCACCGTCGTGTCACCGCACCAGTGGTGAGCACCCTGGCCCAAACGACGCGAGCATCAGCTGTAGGGAGTCGAGATGAGCTCAGAGCCACGAGCAATTGAACTATTACCACTGCAATCCTACCTTTCTTCCCCGTTCCTGGTCACGGCGGCGACAAGGCCCGCGGCGAGCAGAACCTCGAATTTACGCGATGGAGAGCATCTAAGGTAACTAGCGCGGTCGGAACGGCTAGTTGGTTATGAGTCCTTGCTACAATGGCGCTGAATTGAGCTAGGATGCCACAGTCCGCGCATTAATTCAGGAAGCGGCGCGACTGCCAGTGCACAGACAGAGCCATTAAGGCGTGCCCGCATGCGGCCACGCGCACAGAGCAGCGTGACGACGTGATGCAGCAGGCTACGCGACGGCATTGAGCTTAGCTTGGTAGGTGGTTCGAGCTGTGAGACGGGCGCCACGTCGGTCCAGCGACTGAGCGGCCACAACTTGGCCCATGCGCGGCTTGTCCAGCAGCGCGCACGCGACGGCCACGCCACGGTAGCCTGGCAGCGCAGTTGGCCCGCGGTGGCGGCCAAGGCCACCCCATCCTAACGCGCGGCCAGCAGCCCGCAAGGCCAACGACGGCATGACCACGGCCAAGAAAGTACCGGAACGGCAGTGCGTGCGGTGATCGCGGACACGGGCTGCGCCACAATGAGCGGTGATGTGCACGGTTTTTAAAGCGATACAAAAGCTGCTGATCAACTCAACCCGGGTTCAACCGGTTCCACTAACCTAAAGTCGGTACTGACACCTAGCTGGCGAAACAAACCTCACGTCCAGAGAGCGAGATAGGGAAGTGCCAACATGAGTCCGTCACGTGGGACGGCGGTTTGCGACCAGGCACCAAATCATAGTTCGCAACGCGTTCTAACGTAGTTCGGAGAATTTTTGCGCGAGCAACGCACCACCGAACACCACAACTACTTATACCAAGCCCGTGCACTCACCTTGGTGCGACCAACGATGTCAAAATATGAAGCCATCGCTTAAGCATTTTTGTTAAAATTTAAATGACAACATAGCATCGTCCATTATCATTTCGGACTTAACGAATTCGATGTTCGATTAGAACTAACATTCCCCAACACTTTTGGTTGAATTTTTAAACGGTCTAAGCCTCGTCAATTTCAACTTGACAACATGTCATGACTTAGCTCATACTTCATGCTAACTCATATAAACAAAACATCTAAGAATTATTTAACCCGTTTGTTCAATATAATTCGCCAAAGAATGATACTTTTAACATAAACTCAAGTATTAGTTAACAACCAAAATGACCCTCCTTAATTCCAAGTTTGATTTCTGAACTCCCAGAATACTAACTAATAGTATTTATTCTCCCAAAATGAATGTTACATTTCCACCTACTTCACTTGCACTCTAAACTTTATTTAAGCGCTACATACAAGTGATATTCTATTTTTGTTTATAAAAATAGTTTTTCATGCCCAACAATTACAACTACGTATCATATCTTTCTTATTAGGATTTTCACTAACCGTTTTACGCACTAAAAGAATTACTTAGGTTTTTATTTGATTCCTCTCAACTGGAAGGTAAATCACATAAGAGTTTTTCATCATTTCGTGTGAGTTTAAATCTTAAAAACCGAGGAACTTGTTTCGGTAATTTTTCTTAGGCCCAAAACTCAGTGCTTAGCGAGCTCGTAACACCAGAGGTGTTACACTATGTCGGGGCCAAGCTTGAGGGCTTGCTAGACATGTGGAGGAGCGGTAGTCCAAAGACTCGCCTCAACGGGGGCGTAGGTTGCCGGCAAGTAATCGAACCTCAGGCTAAATCATTGTGTCTCTTGCCCTCGGTTGTTTGCCTCACTACACTTGTGCTTTACATTATTGTACTTAAGCTTGTTTAGCTAGTTGCTTGTTGTTGTAGATCTAGTAGTAGAGTAGCATAAGTCGGTTAGTTGCTTTACTTGTGTAGCTCGACTAACTAGTTACCTTGCCTCAGTAGCTTGTGTGTGTGATCTAGTTGATTAGGATGCTTGCTACTAGCGAATTTGATTAGGGGGGGCTTGCTTTGAAGTGCTTAGTCTAGGCAAAGTAGTGGATTTATGTTCTCTTGTTACACAAATCACTTTGCCTAAGTGTTGTGCTTTGAAGGTTTTTAAATTGTCTAGTGTGATTGATCCCTAGTCAACTTGAGTCGAGCGAGTAGGTAAGAGGATATGGTGGCCGGTTTTGGCGTAAAGGGAGGCAAAGGCAAGCTCCTGCAAGGTTGTTCAATCTGGATAACCAAATGGAAACACTGACCAATAATAAGAGCCTCCACTAGACAAGGCTCAATACGCATGGAAACCTGAGAAGGTTATTGAGAATGTGTATGCCAAAATTCGGCGTCAATGCTACTTCTATAGGCTCCTCAAACTTGGGATGAAATCCATGAATTACAAACCAAATAAAAAACATTATATGAGACTTTTTGGTTTTCACAAAATATTTGCTTTGTTCACTTGTCGATTTCAGAAACCAAAGTTTATAAAAAACTAAAGACCCCACACCTAGGCCATAGGAGGCCAGTAGCGGCAGCAACATCATCTGCATTCCGTGACTATTGATAGGTTGACTTTTTCCACTTATCCTTGACAAGCTAACAAGCATATGCAAACTTAAGGAAGGAGAAAGGGATCGTATTATGCTCCACGTAGGTTGAGCTGTGGAGGTTACCCTTCTTCTACCCACCCTGATCGTCTTTAATCTCCACCCTCCCAACGAACTGCCATGGCCATTTTCAGCTCAATCACCATTGTCGCAGCCTCCTACTGGGCCACTGCCACCACTTCCACCACTTGCGCAGCCGTTGTCCTCCACTGCCACCGTATTCAGTTATATCGTCGTAAACAGGTTGAAGCTTGCCCCCATTATCGACCATGTGCAATGGTATCCTCTAGCACCCAACCGACGACACTCTGTTGCCTCATCTTGACCCGTCGACTGTAACGACAACCCCGCCCATCTCCTTTATTTGTACCTAGAGAGCTGCAAAGATCTCAACAACCCCTACAAACCCTAACCTAGTGGCGACCAATGACATACAGCCTGTTCGCTTGGTCGTAAACGATCGTGGATTATAAGCCAGAACAGTATTTTTCTCTCACACCAAACCAGCTAGCAGTAATAATCCACGATCGTTTCAGCCGAAACGAACAGGCTGATAGAACGAGGACGAAAAGAAGACACGTGGGACAGTGAAGAAAGGTGGGCACAGGTGGTGGTAGTGGAGGGGGAAGAGATCTCTAGTAGAGAGCCAACCATGGAGAATAATGGGCCTGCATTGGCAGCATGAGGGCCCAACAGAGAATGGCAGGGCAGGCCAGCGGTCTTTGTAGCGGCGAATCAAAAGCTCAAACGCTCAAGAATCAAGATCATCTTAACGACGAGAGCACGAGTATCATCATCAGTAATTCAGGATCAGGAGCCTTGTTTATATTAAAAAAATAAAGAACTTCAAGAGCCGACAATATGACGGCAGAGGAATTGAATTTTCCTGCAACGGTTATTAAATCGCGGGCATGAATGCTGCCCAAAGCTGTTGGCGACATATCCTCTGACGTCATAATTTGTTTCCCGCCGTGAGCCTCGCGCCTTTAATTGCCGCCATTTCGCGTCCGTCTAACCACCAACGCCCTCCCTGCTTCTGGAGAGCAATTGCGTGCCATGCCAGATGTAGCGCTGACCTGGCAAGGACATACCTCGTGTTTCCTTAAACATAATTTGTCGGTAAAACACGTCAGATTTTCACCGAATTATTACTGTAAGCAGTAGTATCAGGACAACACAACACACTGTCAGTCACTCATGCCACCTACATGTACGTACAGTGATGAGGTCAGCACACTGCACCGGCATAGCAGTAACACAAGCTTTAAATTGCCCACCAACCTTCTCACCACCATAACTGCCCTCCCATGTCCACCGCCTGCAACTGCAAGCTCAAAGATCCATCCACACTGCACTCACTGTGCCCAAATCCCATTCATTCCCATCGGTGCAGACTGCAGAGGAGAGGAAGGATGTCCATGCCGGAGACGTTCACCGTGAAGGTCGGGGAGGCGACGCCGGCCGCCGGCGGCAGGCCGTCGGCCGGGCCCGTCTACCGGAGCATCTACGCCAAGGACGGCCTCATGGAGCTCCCGCAGGACATCCAGTCCCCCTGGGACTTCTTCAGGTTCAGTTCGGTTTCCTGGCAGGCTACCACCTGCTAGCATAGTGCCCTCTGTTTTCGCAATGTGTTTTCCTTTCTCAGCTTTCACTACTACGGAGTACATATTCTACTAGTATGTTTAGCTTGATGCCAATCTTTGGGTGGTACATTATAGCATTATTACAAGGTCCTGGACTTTTCAGATAATGTCAGTTCGAAATTTCAGTTTGTTTTTGGTTTTGTGATTTCGTAGTGGAGCAGTCAAGAAGTACCCCATGAACAGGATGCTCGGCCGACGACAAGTTACAGATGGCAAGGTAAAATAAAACCGAATCTTTACAGATTTATTTTCACAAAGATATCGCCATGGCTTTCGGATATTCAACTGAATTGTCTTTCTTATATATAGGCCGGTGAGTATGTGTGGCAAACGTACGAGGAAGTGTACCAGAAGGTCATGAGGATTGGATCAGCCATCAGAAGCTTGGGCGTAGAGCCGGTGAGCGAAGAATGTCTTGTTTGATGTCGCTGTCTATGTTGAGATTTCATCTTCATCCTGAAAAAGTTAAAATGCATGCCAGTATTTTGAGAACTGATTCGTCAAGTCATATATGCAGGGAGCTCACTGTGGCATATATGGATCCAACTGCCCGGAATGGGTTATGGCCATGCAGGTGACTTCATTGTATTTTATTCAATTTTTATCAGAATTCTTCTTTAGTGTAATCTGATCCAAACTTTTTTTCTTCAGGCATGCAACAGTCAAGGAATATGTTATGTGCCACTATATGACACCCTCGGTAGGTTCTCCACTTCATCACACTGACTGAAACACATAAATGCCTGAATGTCTGAGTGCACTGAATACTCAGATTTGTGCACATGGTTAACATGTGTTTATGAGCAATCTTATCTTAGACTAGAAAAAATATTGGAAAAAATTACAATTAATGAGTAACTCACAATAGTGTGCTTATTTTGTCCTTCATTCTGTAGTTATCAAATCCTATTGTCTTATTGACGATTAAGTTGTAACACGATGCAGGAGCAAATGCTGTTGAATTCATCATGGACCATGCTGAGATATCCATTGCATTTGTCCAGGAGAGCAAGATCAAATCTGTAAGCAAAAACATTTGCCCCCTTTGAATAATATTATTACGCTCTTCACTGTGGTCTCTGCATCATACTGATTAATATGTTTCCAGTAAAAGCTACATGTGCTTGGGATCCAAGTTACAACAGAACTAGGCCTGAACCTGCTAAAATCAATGCTATTTATTTGAAATTAGTTTTGGAGATCAATGCTACACATAACATTCTGTTTACATCTGACAACTCGTTGAATTGTATTTTTCAGATACTAGCAGTAGTCCCTAAGTGCACAGCCCATCTTAGAGGTTAGCTTCCGGAACACAAGATTTCTTATTAAGATGACTATCTGCTGCTTTATATGATCATTTATGACTTGATGCATCTTCAGCCATTGTTAGTTTCGGAGATTTTACAAGTGAGATGAAAACTGAAGCTAAGAAATTTGGTGTGTCTTGCTTTTCTTGGGAAGAATTTTCTTCAATGGTTAGTCTGATTTCTTGTTACAGCTCTTGGGTGCCTAAATGACTACTAGTTCATTATGAATACCATGAGTCCATGACAATGTCGGAATGTTCTGAATAGGGAAAACAAGACTATAAACTTCCTAATAAATGTAAGGAAGATATTTGTACGATCATGTATACCAGCGGAACAACTGGAGATCCCAAAGGTGTGATAATCACAAACAGGGCTATCATTGCTGGTATTATGACCACAGAACACCTCCTCAAAGAGACAGATAAAGTGGTAAGTTCTAACTATCTTTTATCCGCATAAATATCAAGAACGATTCCAGCCTATTAGATCTGTGGCATCAAAGGCATCTGTGATCAACATCTACTGTAAAATTCATCATATGGTTTCTTCATCAGTTGATTTCTTTAGTTAAAGTAATGTGACACTAGTGATATTAATACTCATGCAGTTCACAGAAGAGGATTCCTATTTTTCCTATCTTCCATTAGCACATATATTTGATCAAGTAATTGAGAACTACTGTATTTCTAAAGGAGCCTCCATCGGATTCTGGCAAGGGGTACGAACTAATAACTGTTGCAATTCAAAGAATTCTTTGATTTTCTTCTAAATACTGTGGTGGCTGTTCTGTTATGCCTACTGAGGTGTAAAACTTTTTTTTACAGGACATTAGGTATCTAATGGAGGATGTACAAGTGATGAAACCGACAATATTTTGTGGTGTTCCTCGTGTTTATGATCGTATATATACAGGTTTAATGCAGCCCAGAATAAATTTATTATTCTCAATTCCATCATGATTCCATGCTTAGTCATAATGTGTGGATCTCATTAATTGAAGGTATAAACATGAAAATTCAGTCTGGAGGGATGATAGCCAAACACCTTTTTTCAGTATGCCTACAACTAGTAAGTAGTACTACAAGATTGAATAAGAAAAGAAGCATAATTACATGCATGCTTACATTTCAAATATAATAAAATAATTGTCCATTTGCCAACAGCAAACTTGCCAATATGAGGAAAGGGCTGAAGCAGCATGAAGCATCACCATTTTTCGACAAGATAGTTTTCAGCAAAGTGTGTACAGTGTTGGATCTCTTTATATTTTTCTTTTCTACAAAGCTCTGAACATTTATATTATTGTCGGTACAGATAAAGGAAGGGCTTGGGGCGTATCACGCCTCATGATAGCAGGAGCAGCACCTTTGCCAGGGCAAATCGAAGAGTTCATGCGGGTAACCAGCTGCAGCATTGTAGTACAAGGATATGGTAAGAACTTCAGACGCATCTTACCATGTCTCACTTCAGTTTTATGGATAAAAGTGCACACCAATAGTTCATCTGCTGAAACTAGTTGGGTTTCTTAAACTACTTAACAGAACTCTAGTAGTCTACTTACATTCTGGTCCTGCAAACCATGTGGTCTGACTTATCATATTGATATGCAGGGCTCACTGAGAGTTGTGCAGGATGCTTCACATCAATCGCCAATGTTTTCTCAATGATTGGTACAGTTGGCCCTCCTGTCACAACAATCGAAGCACGACTGGAGTCTGTCCCTGAAATGGGCTACGATGCACTGTCAGACATGCCCCGGGGTGAGATCTGCTTGAGGGGCCACACCATGTTCTCTGGGTACTACAAGCGCCCTGGCCTCACTGAAGAAGTGTTCTCAGATGGCTGGTTCCATACAGGTGACAAGAATACTTCTCACTTGTTTTGCAGCTAACTGAACGATCATTTAGTGAAGATGATTGATTTGTGAAACTTGTGTGCAGGTGATATTGGGGAGTGGCAACCCAATGGCACAATGAAGATCATTGATAGAAAGAAGAATATCTTCAAGCTGTCCCAGGGAGAGTATGTAGCAGTTGAGGTCCTGGAAAGAGCATACATGCAGTCCCCCCTTGTGGCATCGGTACACTGACTAATACCAACAAAATCCTAAACCGAACTACTTTCATGCTCAGATTTAACTTACCTAGGCTCCTCTGAACCAGGTCTGGGTCTATGGGAACAGCTTTGAGTCATTCCTTGTTGCCGTGGTTGTCCCTGAGACGCAAGCTCTCGAGGAATGGGCAGCACCCAACAACAAGGCCGGCGATTTCGCAGAGCTGTGCATTGATACCAAAGCAAGGAGTTACATTCAGGATCAGCTGAACCAAACTGGCAAGAAACTTGGGGTAAGTCGGTGCTCGATCTACAAGGCAGAGCTAGCAAGTGATTAATTGCAGTAATTTATTTTTCGTGGTTCCTACACAATTATTCAGAATAACAATAAAATATCAATCTTGTGTTGTGAATACAGTTGAGAGGCTTTGAGATGCTGAAAGCAATTTACCTGGAGCCAGTGCCTTTCAGCATCGAGAAGGACCTCATAACTCCAACCTTTAAGCTCAAGAGACCCCAGCTGCTCAAATATTACAAGGTTTGAGGGAATCATCTAAATCGCACAAAAGTTTTACAATGTCGTGGCGATTTCTTAAGGAAAGCTGCAATGCTTGTATTTTTATTCATCAAAAAACAAATTTGTTGTAGGATCGCATCGACCAGATGTACAAGGATGCCAAGGAGGGGAGAACTGCACCATGACTGTATTACCACAAGTGGCTATGATCCTGGGCATTGTGATTCCTCGAAAGTGTGTACATATTGGTTATCACAATTTTATGGGTTAAAGGCATGTGGGTTCTATGTCATATGCCAAAATGTAAGAAGAAAGTGAATTGGTTAAGCAGCTCGATTGTGATAGCTTACATTAATAAACGATTGTGATAGCTTACATTAATAAATTTAGCGACTTTACTCGACGCCCGAAACGGTTGAACCCGACATAAAATTTTCATCATTATATAGTAAAGTTTACCTTTATCACATGACAGAGTTCACTTTCATGCAACTTTCACAACATATATAGTGGTCTATCAATTCTCTGGGCTCACAAACTATACACACACTCTACATTAACTTCAGTACAACAACAAAAATAGAACGTAAGATGCTGCTATATGCCTTTTCAGTCCAATGTCTACTAAAGCTCAAGTTTCAACAGCTCAATAATGCTTGAATTTCAATTTCTTATACTTCAGCAGTAGATCCCTTCCTTGCCAAGCTTTTCCATGGAACAACCACAAGCACATACATCTGATCGTACATCTTGTCAATGAGGCAGGAATAAGCAACCCTCCATGCTTTCTTGAACAACAGGACGCAAAACACAAGCCAAAGGCCCAACATAAATCCCAAACCTGTTAAGAAGTTCTAAACTCTAGGCGTAGATCTAGTGGGTGAAACAAACATCTGTTGGTGTACCTTGGTAGCTAGTGCGTCCCCAGCGACCGGAGATGAAGTGCAGTCACAGTCCCTACGGCGACGCGAGGTACAGCGTCCCGGTGGTGGCACTGCAGAGGCGATGGCGAAGTCGGTAGGGCTTCCCGTCGCTGGCAACACCCTTCTTTAGATCGGATTAGTGTTTTTCTGTTAGTGGTTACGGCGGCTCAGGTCAACCTCGTCATTAGAGCCTTGATCCCCACCTCTCCTTTTACAGTGCTATGCGACAAGGGCCCACCAACCATATTAGGGTTGGGCGCTCCTGATCAGGACGCAGATCCAAGGGCCCCTATTGGTGGAGATCAACTAACAAAACCAAGTCCAAAATAAAATGACATTGGCTCAAAACCATGTTCATGAACAAGTTGACTTGATGAATTGTTTCCTGAACAGATCTTTCGAAGAGTAGGCCCACATAGACCACTGTTGACACTGTACATAGATGGGTACTCTGCGTAGAGGGTGTCAAGTTGCTGTCCTGATGGTACGGGCCCCGTTAAATTGTTATTAGATAAGTCCAAATAGCTCAATCCTGATAGATCTGATAAGCTCCAAGGGATTTCCCCAGAAAGCAGGTTGTTTTAGAGGTCCAGTTAGAAAAGTGACTTCATGGCCCCAATCTTGTCTGGAATTTCTTCACTTAAACAGTTTCTTGAGAGATTCAAGTTGAATAGTGCATCAAAAGAAGCTATTTCTTCTAGAATTCCACCAGATAAGTGGTTGAATGATAAGTCAATGCTCATCAATTCAAAAATTCTGACATCGTAATACAGTTCTTGCCCCTTGGTGACAGCAGAGAAGTGCTGTCCGATGTCACGGTTCAACGTTTCATAGACTCCATAAGCATCTTCGTCAATAGAAGGGTCCTTCACATATTTTTGTGTCCGATGTCACGGTGCAACGAAGTCGCGTTCCTGCTCCACGTACCAGCGGGACTGCTGCAACCCTTACTGGTGCTCTCGTGAGTCTGGGCAGATATCTCCCTCGACTTCATTGAGGCGCTGCCCAAGGTCCACGGTAAAAGTGTTCTCCTAAACGTGGTTGACAGGTTTTCGAAGTATGCGCACTTCATTCCATTGGGCCACCCCTACACGGCGTCGTCAGTGGCACGAGCTTTCTTCCAGGACATCGTGCGCCTCCATGGATTTCCCGAGTCCATCGTCAGCGATCGCGACCCGGTCTTCACGGGGCATGTGTGGCGCGATCTCTTTCGCCACGCCGGCGTCCAGCTTCGGATGAGCACTGCGTTCCACCCACAGACAGACGGGCAGTCCGAAGCGGTGAACAAGGCCATAACCATGTACTTGAGATGTCTCACTGGTGACCGCCCTCGCGATCGGGCGGGATCGGGCTCTGCCGTGGGCGGAATTTCATTACAACACCGCATATCACACGACGCTTGACTACTCCATTTCAGGTGGTCTACGGACATCCTCCGCCCGCCCTGCTGCCGTATGTTCCAGGGGAGGCGCACACGGAGGCCGTCGACACCATGCTGTCCAACCGGGATGAGTTCTTGGACGAGGTACGCGCTCGCCTTCTCCAGGTGCAGGAGTACGCTCGCCGCTTCTACGATGCCAAGCACCGTGACCTGGAGTTTGCCGTCGGGGACTGGGTACTGCTCCGCATGCTTCATCGACACACGCAGTCCCTAGCCCCTGGCGGTCGCGGCAAGCTGGGGCCCAAGTATGCTGGCCCTTTCCAGGTGATTGAGCGGGTGGGCGAGGTGGCCTACCGGCTTCGTCTTCCGGAGGGCGCCCGGATTCACGACGTCTTCCATGTCGGGGTGTTAAAGCCATTCCGTGGTACACCGCCGATGTCTGAGCCTGTGCTTCCTCCACTTCGCCACGGCCGGCCTCTCCAGTGACCGGAACGCATATTGCGCTCTGAACTTCGTCGTGGCGTCTGGCATGTCCTCGTCGAGTGGTCTGGCATGCCTGCGTCTGAGGCTACGTGGGAGCCGGTTCCTGCATTCCGGGAAGCTCACCCTTCCTTCCAGCCCGCGGACGAGCTGTTTCCTGAGGGAGGGAGAGATGTTATGGTGGGAAAGACTTATGCAAGGCGCAACAACAGAAGGGCCTGAACCGTGTTGTATTCAGGCCCATCTAGAGTCCTAGCAGATTTGGGTTAGAGTATTAGAAGATTTGGTCCAGATTTATAGCAAGAGTTAGTTAGCGTCAAGGGTCGAGTTGTAAGGACTATAAGAGTCCAACTTCATTAAGGAAACGATTAGCCTGGGATTGTGACTTCAAGTCACCCTTGGGCGCCCGGTGTCTCTACTGTTCATCGTCATCTACTGTTCACCGTCATCTCTTGCCGCCGCAATCACGGCTCCAGTCCGCCGAACCCTCGCACGCTCTCACGCTCCTAGATCTCCTCCGTACTTCCTTCGAAGCAAAGCCCGCCGTCATACCAACCCTCCAATCCAGTGTGGTAAATTTCCAGAGAACTTATTTCGTGATAAGTCTATGAACTCTAATCGCTTGCTGGTTTGAAGGAACACTGGGAAATCACCTGAGAAACTATTATTGCCTAATAGTAGAAACCTGAGGGTTGTAGCATTAAAACATCGAGGAAGCTCGCCCTCAAAAAGATTGTTACCTAAATACAGTTCAGATAACCCTTGCGCTTCACAAATCGATTCGGAAAGACCACCAGTGATGTGATTCGAGAACAAATTTAGAGATACTAGTTGCCGAGTTCTGAACTTTGTTGGTAGGTTTCCAGATAAAAAGTTTAGAGAGAGGTCCAACATGCTAATATTTCTTGGTAACGAAGGGATGTCACCAGTATAATTATTTGAACTGAGATAGAACCACTTCAAGGACATAAATTCCATGTTTTTTGGCAATGTACCATGGATTTGATTCTGGGAGATGTCCAAATAGGTGGCCTTTGAGAATGTAGTGCTAAACCAGTCCGGGAACTTATCAGTTATACCTGTGATTGAGATATCTACCCAAACAAGATCCACCTGAGATCGAAGCCAAGCAGGAAACAGAGGACCTATTTGGCAATGTACTAGATGTGCTACTTCTAAACTAAACGGAGGGAACCATTCGGAGGAAACTGTAAAGTTCAAAGAATTTCCATATAAGTTTAGGTACTTCAATTTTGCTAATCCCGCAAAGTGTTTTTCTGTGATATCACCACTCAATTCATTGAAACTCAGGTCTAGAAAATTCAAATCAGCAAGCATACCAATCTCAGATGGCACATGTCCAGAAAGGTAGTTGGCAGAGAGGTCAAGATACTGCAGCTTTGAGAGGTTACCAAGGTGGGGAGGGATTCTACCAGAGAATGACTTATTCGAGAGGCCAAGATGTACCAAATTCACCAAGGAGCTCAAGAACTCCGGTATATGTCCGCTCGATCCGTTAAGGTAATTCATACTGAGATCAAGGTAGACTAAATGATCCAGCGAGAGCAAGGAATGACTTATCTGGCCGACCAGAGAGCCATAAGGAAGTTGAAGCTCGAGGACATTGCCGGTTTGGTTGCTGCACTGGACGCCTCTCCACCGGCAGCAGCCTCCGCCCTTTTGCCAAGAGGCAAGGAGGTCCGTGGGATCACTGCTTATGCCATGTTTAAAGACCAATGAGTTCGTCTCTGTGTTGAAGACTGAAGAAAAAGGGTATTTCTACTTCTGGAATTTTTATAGGGATTCTAAGTGATCCCGAGATCTCAGTTTTCCACACTTAGTCAAAATATTGACTGACTAGCCGCCAGTGCAACCTTATGGCAACTGTGTGGAAATATATACACTTTTTTCTTCCATGGTACGGTGTGGAAAGGTCATGTCCTTTGTGTGGTGATTTGACTTGGGACCAAACTATGCAATTTCATCACCACTATAATGTAGCAAAGTAATCTTATTTATTTTCTAGCTAGATAATCTATCGAAATGTTTTGACTCCTTATACTAATTAAGTGACCATGCATATCCCGGACATGGAGACTAAATCAATTCTGTTAATTTTCTTAATAATTACTCCCCCGTTTCAAGCTCCAAATTATAAGACGTTTTGGCATATCCAAATTCAAGGTTTTTGCTATGCACCTCTATATATATATATATATATATATATATATATATATATATATATATATATATATATATATTAACTATGAATCTAGAAATGATAAAATATCTTATAATTTAGAAGTATAGCATACCCTATCAAGACGAAGGAAGGGAGAAAGTGAACGCGAAAGGAGGAACCTTTTGGATCTGCTTGGCGGTGGTTGCGGCGGTCGGGGTC